AACACTGAGACTTGCTCATTACATGGAACTTCTTTTTGACTTTATGTCCCAAGGTTAGCTCTCTTTAGGAATTTGATCCAAAGATAAATAGATCACTGATCTATTCTCATTTCATAAATCTCATTTTAATTAAGATTGTCTAATGAAAGAATTATGCCTCTTGCTAAGTCAGGTCTTTATAAACTTGGGAGAAATATGCTATAAATATCACATGGTTGCACTGGTGCAAAGTTACGTACAATGCAGGGTTTTAAAAATGCAAGTGCATAGCATCAGGACGTGCTGGTTGATAGGTAAAGTCAATGTGTTCAACTAAAGACATGCTGACAGTTAACACCTCAGTACTTTTTAAATGCAGCTACTGAATGTTATTTTTGGAATCACTTTCAGCAAGTCTCTGTCAAGTACTTTTTTAAAAATTCTAAGTCTTCCTCCCCTGGCTTTCACAGAACTGATTCACAGTAGCGAGGTGAAGGCATTACACAGCAAAAAGAAAAAAAAAAAAAAAAAAAAAAAAAAAAAAAAAAAAAAAAAAAAACCCTAGACAGCCATGTGAAAGCTAAATCTTCCCCCCATAAAACATGAAATTTCCAAATCTGAAATTAAATTAGTATTTGAAACAGTATAAAGACTAATTGTTTTAAGTTAAAAAAAAATACCTGTCAGAAATATAAGTAAATGATGACTAAAAAATATTTGCAACTGTAACAAAGATCATTTCGGTGGCTTAATATCAGAAAAAGGACACTATGATCCAGATGAACTTGTTTTTTAGTTAAAGACAAAAGGGACACACAGGCATATCCCAGTTTTTTCCTGACATGAAAGAGCCTTTCGTTTCTTCAGAGGATATTTTTATTTTGCTTTTAACACCTGAAACAAAAATAAAGTCATAGTTTCTTTAAAGTTTGACATCCCGAGGCTGAAGTAGAAGCAAGTATTTTAGTTTTCTTTTTCCCACTTCAGCAAACTCAGTCTCTAGCTTCCTATATCAAAACTCTATTTAAAAATTAGCAAAGGACAATTCATAAGCAATCGTGCATCATGAGTTCTAGACTCAGATCCCAGGAGAAATGATCAGACTCAGCATATCCTAGTAGATTGAGAGAAAGTACAAATCATCAACTCTCGGGCAGATTCAGC